GAGTCTGCCTGCATTGATATGTCCGGCAGGTGCAACCGCCAAGATCTGCCTGCCGGTACGCAGCTCCGCTTTCGGAGTTCAATCGCAACTGGTGCTCGGGTCCGGATCCGCAGTCACAGCCTCAAGACTTTCAGAGTGATCAGTCCGGCCGCACCCACGACGGCCAAAATCCCAGCAGGGCGCCGAATCTTGGCTAGAGGGTATTCAGGCAATCCTCGAGTTGCCCCCTCGCCCGTCTCCTTGCTGAGTAAACAATACACTTTCAATACACCTAACCAAACCCCCCACAACCTGCATCCTTCTCTCGACTGAGGGCTCGGCACTGCGGAGAAGCTCTATACGCAGGAGCTTCAAGAGCTTTTTGAACTTCGTCGCAGGCTCCACCATAGCTCTTCGACTTTACACAAGCTGGCTTCCTAATCTGTATGACTGCACAGTGTGGCCTTCCAGAAGTATGTGATCATACATACGTACATGCATACATGCACACATGCATACATACATACATACATAAGTTACATGTACACACACACATACATTTCTAAACACGTACATGTGTATATACATACATTCATACATACATACATATATATATATATACATACACACATGCGCATGCATGCATACATGCAAAAAACATGCGCACCCCCCCTCCGACAGACCATCGCAGAGACCATATGCATGGGATTAGACGCTTGCCTGTTGCATCTCGAGCCTTTCGTTCTATTAGTAATCATCCTGTTGTCGTGCTTTTCGAGTTGCTGCTTTGCTGGTGCTTTGCTAGTACTGCCACTGATGCTGTGCATATCCACAAACTCCATTCGTTCGATCCTTTCATGAATCATTTCTCTTATCATACAACTGTCATTGTCATGATCACCACCATCACTTGATGTCAGTTCTATTCTTTACTCTAGCACAGCACAGAATTCTCAAAGACACCAGGAAACACTCTATTTCAACCGTAACTTGTTGAAGATCAACAGCATTGTACTATTGGGAAACCATATCTCGCGCCAGATTGAGCGGACTTCATACGTCTACAACATCACTCATAACCATTCGGCTTTAATCAAATGCGCACACTTATGTCGTCATGAGATGTGCCTACGTAGGCATGCACCGTATTCGCACTTAGCCATGCCAAAAAAATCTTTGATGGACATCACATGTGTGTCCGGTACAAACCTAGATATTTATCTTTGCTGGAAGCCATCGCTATTAGAAGACCAGTTCGTTGATTGTTTTCGTGCATTTGTCACGCAAGGAACTATACTCTGTCTCTTCCATTGAAGACTGTATCATGGGAAAACTCGTACTATAACAACTGCTTGTACCGGCTTCAATTGCATACATCTTAGCTTATGTTGCTTTATGCTTGCATGGAGCGGTCTTTCATGGTTGTGTCTTCATGTTTCCACGGCAATAAGCACTGCTCTCAATAAAGGGCCTTCATCGGCCTTCATCGGTACAATATCAGCGATTCAGAACAAAATTGTAACTTGAATGATTATTTCATAGTCATCATTTGGTAAGCAAACATTTTATTGAAACGATGTTGTCAAACCCATCAGTTCCTAGTTCGGCCATTAGAGTGGACATGGCCTAAATCATGCATAAGCTTAACATGAACTCAACTCAAAATAAACATGGAAAGCCAACTGGTATTAACAAATTAAATGAAATAACAAACAACAACACCGGTTGATACATACCGAAAGCTCTCTGGCCTCAACAATCACAAATCTCTTTCAGCAGGTTCTAAAACACACGTGACACTGTACCCAGCTCACCCGTCATTCCATTAAGCGTGTTTGTGCAGGCCAATCAATATCAATATATATATATATATATCATGCAAGCGCAACTGTCCATATCAACACAATAGTAGTTGATGATCTTTAGTTGGGTGGTTACTTGTACTATATTTGCCAGTGCAAGACTGCGAATAAACAACGGACTCAACAAGTGCTAAACTTACTCTGCAATGTGTGGTTGGTATCCGACAATATACCAATGTCTTGAACACTATACCCACACCAAGATATGATTCAGATTAATACATTGTAGGAAACGAGGTGCAATGGTAACTGAGTCAGCAGTACCGAGGCCCCCCACAATGGTCACCCCAAACAACATGTGGGTAGTCCTCTAAATTAGGCACCCTTATATTGGGGACCTAGGAATTGGTGCCGTGCTATTCGGAGGACCTCAAAAGGGACCGCTGTGCAGGTCTGCGTGCTCCTGGTTCTAGCGAATTCTGGTCATGCTGCACAAAGCAGAAACAGTTGCGGCAAACACGCTGAAGATACATCTTGGAGGCTAGGATGTGCAGGCAGCAAGGTGGGCTCTAGCTATTCTGAGGGAAACTCGGAGCGGAACTGCTCAGCTTTGCGTGCCAGCACCGCGGGCAAGCCTTTTTGCTTCAGTTGCTCGAACCTCAACAAGCTGCAACAACCAGCATGCGTGGTTGCAGTACAAGCCTTAAAGCTTGCATCACCCCCACCCCGGGAAGGAAAAATATTCACAGAAATTCCCATCATTTCCATCAGACGTCTGTTGTTGGAGTGGCGCCACTCCATCTTTCTTGCGTCGTCGTGAGGATCGCATGGCCGGGTCCTCAACGATTCGCCATTGCTGCCCCATCTTGTAGTAGAGCTCGAGTTCATGGCTTCCGCCCTCTTTAGTTAAAGAGTTGCTAAGCTGGGCCTCTGAGTGGACCCATCTCACGATGAGTCCGGTACGCTGTTGAGCCTCTTTGACGGCCAGCAATTCGATGTTGGTTTTCTTTTCTTCGCCCTTAATTGTAAGAACAGCCGTGTTCAGCTTGTCATACACATTCCGGGAATCCGAAATCAGCACTCCTACCACTCGCGACACAGTAGCTTCAGGGTTCCGGGTATCTGGTGTGCCGTACATCAGTTCTCCCCACTGATAGCGTGCAAAATAAGCCACATCTTCCCCATTGACCGCCGCCTGTGTCTCAGCAGCGCCGGGACTCCGGCAAGCCCTTGATATCTTGTTAGAATGCCAAGATACAGCGGACACTCCAGCCACCTCGCCTTGGAGCATACTCGTGGGCGCAAGTCCCACAAATAAGCCTTGCGTGCTGTAACCGTCCCTACGGTTCTGACTTGCCGCATCGACCCACGCAAACACGCCTAACTCCGTCCCTTCCGCAAACCTGTGGATGCGCATGACATGGTTCTTCTTTCCCCTAGCTCGCTCCACCAACTGGTTAGTTTTCACGATGGTGCTCACAGTGCTTCCATTGATCTGTGATAACAACAAACTAACCTCTGCTGAGAAGTGGGGTGCAACTTGCTGGGCGTGCCAGCTCAATGCGCCCAGGGTGGCGCGAAGTTGGCTCTGCTCCCTTGGGGTAGTCGGCTCTTGGCTTTGCTTCCGGCGTGAGGCATTAAGGGGGACTTCAGGAATCCCTTCCACGTAGCGCTCCTGGGACAAGTGAAACCCGGACTCATCCTGCACCACCTGAACCCCGCACTGAGTAAAGCTACCGGACTCCCAATCACCCCACTTAAACCGGTCCTTAATGCGCTGCAGCTGTGCCTGCCATTCCCTGTCCTCCTCGGCTCCCGAGAAAAGGAAGTCGTCCACGTGACCACTGATAGCGCCTCGGATCTCTCCGTTGGGACGCCACATCCACAGGCATGGATCTGACCAGGATCTGATCATTCCCAGTTCGGTTTCCAACACCTCGGCTATGGTCTTATACCATTCCAGTGGAGCGTCCACTAAGCCGTAGCAGGCACGGTGTAATCGTGTGATGCTTCCTGGACTCAAACCCATTGCCTGGCAGATCTCGGGGCAGGGGATGCAGTATAGGAGATCTGGATATTCCCTCCCTTGGAGGAAAGCTCCACTCACATCTCCTTTATACATTTTCCAGTTCTTCAGTGTTGTAAGCTGCATGAGCATCTGTCTGGATTGCCTAGTCATCACTGGTGATGTTGTGGCTCTGTGTTCATAGCTGGGGTCTTGAAACCCCAGCAGAACCGCCCTCGCCTTGGCCTTCACGGTCCCGTCATCTCGATTTTTCCATGTCAAGATCCAACGCATCTGTACTGCTTGATCGTGACTCGGTCGTAGGTGATCTGGGAGGTTCTCGAAGGCCTCGGCTGCCAGGAAGTTCTTTACCTCCGTGGCCTTGGCCTCGCGAAAGGCCGCTTTGTCCGCCTCCGACAAATGTTTCTCTGAGACCTCCACCGCCCGGCGCTTCATAGCGCCCACGAAGTAGGACGCCGGATTGGCGACCATAGCCTGCATGCCACGGTTGGACGTCGGCAAAGGTATCTCCACAGCCACTGCTGCTGTCTCCTCACACCAGAAAGCGTTCTCCTCCTTTGAGAAATCCTCTGCTTCCAAGTTGCTCCACCACGCCTCGGCCTGTAGCGTCACTGGCGAAGGCTGGTGACTTCGTCTCGCGCGGGGTTGTGCTCGCTGCCGGCTGGCTGAAGCCGGCTCCTCCGGATCACCCCACACTTCGGGATCCTCCTCGTTGGCGGGCTCAGCTCGCTTGCCACGGACTCTGAACCTGGAGGGCTGCTGTTCCTCCACTACTTCCTGGGCACGCTGCCACTCGGAGGGGCCTGGCTGTTCTCCGGATATGTCCTCGTACTGATTGCCTCCAATCTCCTCAACGACTCGCTGGAAA